TGGATCTCAACAGAGAAGAATGGCCTTATTTGGTCGTGGGACACTCGCCGCGTTACGGCACTGTCAAAAGATAGATGTAATGTTATGTGTGGAGAACCCTTGCCAAATGGTGAACTGCAGCCTGGGGACGCACTCGGTAGCATACATCTTCGCTGTTACCGAATCAGGCGTTTTTCCAACTCTTCTAAGTGATCTAATGAATATTTACCGATCCGGTTAAAGCTCCAGATGTTTTGCTTTTCATCCTCTTTTTTGGGGAAGTCTCCATCACATGCAGACAGTAAAGCTTTTTAAATCTCTTGGTCATATAAAAACAGTTCGCGAAGTTCATTGAAAGGTGGCAAAATACACGGCATTTATTCTCGATCATACTGAGGCGGTCCTAGAAAATGGATTATTTTGTAGGAGAATATTGCCATGCCACTTTTAATTCTAGGTATTTTAACTGTTAGTGGAAAATGCAATACGGTAATCCTTTGTTTCTGATAATTCTTCTAGACTGGATAATTTCAAGCTCGAATTCATACAATTATTCACTCAACAACCCCAGGCTGGACGTGATTATGAATTTTTGTTGTGCTTCAAAGAAAAGAAAAATATTCTCCCATTTGGTCTCGCTTTAGGTGTCCTAGTTATCGACAAGGTATGATAAAACAATTGAAAACAATTCTTTCGTGCCAACATATCATGCGATCAGAGCTTGTGTCTTCGAAACTGGAGACTCATCTGCTTTCTTCGATCTTATTTTAGGAAAGTTGATCCTAAGCACTTGACCATAAGGTTGCACCAATTCTTTTTTCGGCTTCCCGCATGAGTTCCGAAGAAGACGAGTTCTTTGATGCTCCTGATGCATTTGCATGCAGCCCCTATGCTCGCCGATGGAGTGACAAGTTAGTTACTTCCCATCGCTTTCATTTAGTCATGAAATTACAGCGAAGATGATTTTCCTTCGATCGCACTGGATTTTGACAACAAAAATGCTCAAAGACGGAGTCGAGTGGAATCGCTTAAGCGTAGCATCAATGACCACAGGACTCATCCGCATTTTGTTGATCCTATCCAGGACTTGAATGCCAAGGAGATGAGACGTGTGTCACTCACAGACTCTAAGGTAGTTGAGCGTGCTGATATTCGAGTCATTTTCATTCTGTTCGCTTCTGAAACCTGATCACTTTTTCTATTCTCTCAGGCGAATATCAGTTTTTTCATTTATTCATCACAATGTCTGTTCCGTTACACTTCAAATCCACCCCGATTTATTCAATTTCTTGTTTTTTTATGAACAGGCCGTAAAATTTGTTATTTGTAGGTGTATTCCGCGTCAGGTAGCTTTATATGCAGTCCACCAGCCAATGATTCTTCACTATCCGAGGTTATCGTTGCAATGCGATGTATTAGAAACTGGCGTGGATTTGTTGACGTATTTGCTAAAATATGTCACAAGAGCACTGAATAGTTTCGTTTTGTACCTTGCACATGGGTCATTCTCGCTTTGTACATCTCAACAGTACATCTACATGTTAATGATACCAATTATAGCAGGTTATCTGTGTTTTTCGACTGGCGCATCACGGTTTAGCAGCGATCGGTGAAGTTCGTTTCACTGTATTACGTTGTACAAGGATGATGATAATGATGATGCGGTTTCAGTCGGGAACAGGTTACTAACCGGTGAAAGTGAGAAGTGACGTTT